CCAAAAATAACTCTTCCTTGAAAATCTTAAGTTCTTTGGCAACACTGTGTCTCCGAAATCAGAAATCATTACTATTTTTTTTAAGTTTATTTTGAGGGGGGTGGAAGGCAGAGAGAGAGAGAGAGAGAGAGAGAGAGACAAAATTCCAAGCAGGTTCTGTGCTGCCAGCGCAGAGCCTGATGTGGGGCTTGAACTCACAAACTGTGAGATCATAACTGAGCCCAGATCAAGAGTTGGATCCTTAACCGAATGAGCCACCCAGGCGCTCCCAGAATTTGTAACTGTTAAAACACATTTTGGAAATTAATTTTCTGACTTTAGAAACAGGATTTTTAGAGCAAATTCTTTTGAGATTTTTGCTGACTTTATAATTAGTGTGCTCACTGGAAGAGACGTCTGAGTTTATCAGAATTTACACAATGGTATTTGCCCTGGCAAATGAGTGAAACAAGAACATAACAGAAAACATGCATTCAAAGTACTTTATTGATAATTAACACCAAACAGATTGGGAATTTAAAATATTCTTTCCACTGTTGTTTTTTTAATGATTTAAACCCACATTCCCAAACTCAAGATTATTAAGAGCAGAGGTTCCAAACTTTTATTTAGATAATAAAGCAGCCTTTTGAGAATTTGATGAAAGCCAGGAATTTATTCCCAAGAAACATGCATCTACTCACAATTTTGCATATATTTGGGGGGCAATTCGGCCCCTTGAAATCTGTCCAGGGGTCTGTGGTTAGGAAGCCTGCCGCCAGAGTGTTCAAGGATCTGTGCTGCCTCTTACCCCAGCAACCCTAGCTGCCTCCACATGGTAGACAATGAGTAGACCATAAGAGGTCCTTGACATTGCGGGGCTCTCAGGAAGTGAGGTCTACATATCTTCAAAGCCAAAACCTTCTCAATAGACTTGTCAACCCTATGATAAAACAGAATTCTAGGAAAAGCCCTCAGGACACAGCTCAGATTGGCATGATCTTCCATAAATTTGCCAGTAGTGGATTACCTCATGGTCCTCTTATTATTCACAATGACTGCCATGTTTTGAGGGCAGTATTGATCTAGGAGCTCTACGAGGCATTGTACACATTTTGATTTCATCTAACCATCAGAATATCCCTGCCCTGAGACCTATTAGTACCTTCACTTCGGAGACACTTAAGTGCCTTCATTAAAGTCACAAGGTTGTTACTGAGTAGGGGATTCAAAGGTCTATCTGCAGGATTCTGAGGCCTTGGTGTTAGAAGCAAAGTATCATTTTATATAACCTGCTATAAATCTAATATGGCACCATAACTGTATACAGGGTCGTTGTGTTTGACCCCGTGGCCAAGGGTCAGGAGTGTGGCACCTAGGATTTGCCAGCTGGCCTGTACTCTTCTGGAGCCAATGCCACACAATAGCCTAATCCCAGCAAGAACATGAACGGGTGCATGCAAGGATCCGTCCAAGTCCATTTTGACATCTGTAAAATTAACCAAGGAATATTCCCTGTTACTGTCTCAGCTGTAATGTTCACATGTCCTAGTCTCTCCTGCAAATGTGGAAGACAGGTGGAAACTTACTGGGACACCATACAACGAAGAACAATGCATTCTTCTCTAACAATACATGAAGAGAGAACTTTTTAAAAACATTATGGGGCTTTAGGGTATTTTTTTTTCCGCCTTTTAACAGAATGATATTATAAACCCTTACTTACCAACACCTGCCTTTAGCAATTATCCACTCATGGGCAATCTGGTTTCATCTAAACCACAACTCACCCTTCCTACCTATAAATGCTCAATTAGGTTTTCAGATATCAAATAATTGTGTTCATATATAAGTGGAAACACTTAATGAAGTCCATGCGGGCAGTAGTTATGGCTACAGTCAGTTTCACTGCCGGAGCCCTGGTGTTAGTTATTCCATGAACTGTGGTCTATGCAGTGAGTACAACATCTCTTACAGGAAAATAGGAGCTACTCTTGGTAGTGAAATACCAAACATCTATCGACTCTACACATCTAAAATATAACCTTATTTTCTATCCAGCTGTGGCCTCTGGAAAATGCACTGCTGTTTGCTGCATTCCACACAGGATTGCTGTAAGACTTATGTAAAACGGCACCTATAAAAAAAAAAAAAACACACACACAACTAAAAAGAATACTTACTATTTCAAATGTTAGCTTGGGTGCGCGTTAAGCACGTCACTTCAGCCAGTCACGACAGCGGATCTCAGGTGGGTTCAAGGGACTCCCTACCGGGTCTGATGGCCGGCCATGAGCCTGCTTCGATCAGTGTCTCCCTCTCTCTCCTGCACCCCTCCCTTACAATTCGCTCTGTCTCTCTCTCTGTCCCCCCCCAAAAAAAAAATAAATAAACGTTGAAAAAAAATTGTATTGCTTTCAAGATAAACAATTAGCACCTGGACATTTCACCTCAGTGAACCTTGCTGATCTGCTTTCTTATTCTATCATTCTAACATTCTTTCTATCTGGGGTTTTGAAAATTCAGTTTATGAACAAAATTATAATATCCTGAGAAGTATTTTCTAATATTAATGCAAAATATTAAGAACAACAGCCTTGCCGTTGCAACTACACATGGCATTACTTATCAACACTGTTCCCAGCTACTTTTTGGGTTAAGCCCCACAGATGCTCTAGAAGTCTCTCTGGGACCCCAAACCCTGTTCCTCCAATCTCAGCTGAATAAAACAGCCTTCGCTCAAACACTGCATATCTTATTCACTGGAGCTGCCGTAGACACTTCCTATCTGTGTAATTATCACTGGAAGTATGGACAGATATGGTTCTCAAACTGGTAAATCCAACCTCTGCTTTGAATATGAACATTATATATGCAAGCTTTCTGATGCGAAATATTTTCACAAAACCACATTTGGTTCCGTAAGGTCTCGGAGGCTTGGCTTGCTGAGATTGGCTTCTCTGGAGAAGAGCTGTTTCTGTAATAATTCTGCAGAGGTGAGAAAGACCTTTCACAAGGTGAGAGGGAATTCAGTGGGAACAGATCCCAAAGAAGACGGTTATGCAAATTGTATTTAACACGCTCACTTCAAATGACTAGAGAGAGAAATTCTACATAATATTTTAAAACAGAATGTACCCTGTTGGTCATTTGCTGTAGAATGTCTTCAGTGTTTAGAAGAAAACTCAGCATTTGATGTGTCTCAGCAAAAGTTTCACAATGAGCCACCCCGATTTAACACAGACACAGCCCCTTGGCAAAACCCATATCCCACCTGAGACACTAAAGCCCACTGGACAGGAGGAAAAACCACGAGGAGGAGTCCAGTGGTACAGCTAAAATATTTTCTAAAAACAAGAAATACACAAAGAAAAGAAGCAAAATTATCCCTTGGAGAATGTGTAAAAGCTAGGGTGGCTCGTGTAAGCAGGCAGGAGGGATCTGGCACTCTAAACAACGGATTTCCAAACTTTTGATGCTGCTTTATTCATTTCAAATCAGTGATGCTGGCGGCGGCAGATTATAAAAGATCTGAGTGACAAAAGCGACATTTCATAACATAGTAGACTTTTGACTGAAAATAACACTCCAGTTTATTTTTTAAACCCTTACAAAAAGAGAAGTGACTGGGGTGCCTGGGTGGCTCAGTCGGTTAAGCATCCACCTTTGGCTCAGGTCATGATCTTGCAGTTTGTGAGTTCAAGCCCCACGTTGGGCTCTGTGCTGACAGCTCAGAGCCTGGAGCCTCTGAGCCTCTTCCCACTAATGCTCTCTCTCTCTCTCTCAAAAATAAATAAAAACATTAAAAAAAATTTTTTTTGAAATGTTTTTTTTCCCAAAGAGAAGTGACAAGTTCAGAGAATAAACAAACTTTATTTTATAACAGTATTACAGAAAGCAAAATACCATTTAATACAACTTCAAGCTGCTATAAATCTAATCTGGCATCATAACTATACATAGGGTCAAAAGCAAAGGAAAAAACGTTCAATACAGTTAATAGGTCCCTATCAGGTCTCTGGTGTGTGCTGGTAAATGGTCTAGCTTCCTCACAACCATCAAAAAACCACCACAGCCCCTGCTTCTCTCCCCGGTGTCCTCAACCTCATGTGAATCATCCAACTGTCTGAAAGAGACATACCTGCTCCATAACAAAAGGTCAGTTTTACAAGTAGACAAGGAGGTTTAATACAAAGCAAGCGTTCTACACAAGTGTGTTCAAATAATGGAAAGTACTGAAATTTGGACATGTTAAGAAAGAAAGCACTAAGGTTTTAAGCTGCCTGCATATTTTAGCAGAAGGGAAGCCACCATTTTCTCTTCTTCCTCCCTCCTGTTTCTGGAATGCTGCCAAAGAGCACGTGTCTGAGAAGCATTGGCACTGTGGTGCGACAGGGTCTCTCAACACAGTGCGTGGTCAGTGAACTTGTTGGTAATTCTCCAGTCTGGACATTCTCTGACTTTTTACTTTTCTGGCCCAAAGTCAGAGGACTGGAAAGTCAACAGGGTTCAATATAAAAAATATCCCCAGTGAAATTCTCAAACATTAGAAAATTTTCAAGATGTAAGAAATGCTTCTAATCTGTATTAATATTTCCTCGTACAGTATATTGACTGCATCTGAAAATCTGTAAATATTTCCTGTGAGAATTCAATGGGAAGAATCTGGAAGATAGGAAAGCCGCTATTGAAATTAGTCACTGAGTTTCCTTTCTGCACAACAGCACCTGTTCAAGTGAACGGCACCTTACCAGCTTGGGCTGGCTTTGTTCACTATCATTTGATCAAAATGAGCGATTAAAAAGCAGGTAGTTGTACACAAAGCAAACGGGAAAACAAAAACAAAACTCCCTAATTAAGAAAAAAAAAAAAGAATATTTAGAAGTGGTTATAAAACAAAATAATGTATTAAAATGCGAGGGAACAGTATAGACCAGAGCTGTTAAGGTAAGGTTTGGTCGTTGGCATTTTAATTCTTCCGGCTCCTGGTCATGGTTACCAGTCGTAGTATAAATTCGCTGGAGTAGTGGTGTGGCATTAAGACTTGGAATGGTCAAAATTCTTCAGGTTCACAAAGTTGAATGTTGTTTAAAAAAATGCATTTCTAGGAGGAAAAAAAGGGACAAGGTTAAATATTCCAAAGACAGAGACTTGAAAAAAAAAAGTGTAACATTCCATCCAATTCCAAATTAAGTAACCAACAGTTACTACCTAATTCTACAATATGCAGCATGTTTTCCAGAAGACCAGCACTAAGGACTTACTCCACCCTGAGGAGGCCTTACACTGTGTGGGGAACTGACTGCACACCGAAAACAACCAGCAACTAAGAACACACACAAAAAGACTTAATTATAAAACAGGTAATTCATACATTGAAAATCCATAAAGGAGAAACCCATGTAGACTTCAAAGCTAGATTCAAGGAAGGAGGAAAAACAAAGTCCATTCTGACTTCCTTGGAATGAACAGAAACAGTGCTTCAGGTGGGAGAACAGAATGGGGAAAGAGGTCAGGAAATGAGATGGTGTTCAGGGGGGTATGCAGAGTAAGGGGACAGAAGGGGTTGCGAGAATGAATGAGGAACAGGAGAGTGAGGAAATGGACATTACTGGGGATAAGTAATAATAAAGTAAGTAATGGCAGGTCAGGTAAAAAATATTAGGTCTAGTTTTTAATACCTGGCTGACAAGTACAAAATTGATTTGACAAAAAAAAAAAGGAAAAAAAGATGAATTCAGGAAGTGCGTTCAGACAAACGAACAGCTCTCAGTGTGCTGTGATGATCCAGAGTAGAGAGCGAGAGGCAGAAGACAGGTCAGAGAGCCAGGGGGTGAGTGGCGGGTCCACGCAGGGCAGGACAAGCCCAGGATAGGAGGCGGCTGGTTTTGAGGAAGGCTTGAGATGGCCTGATTTTGGTTCTGACAACCTCGCTGAAGCTTCAGTGTGAGGGACAGGCTACAGGTAGGGAGGAGAGAGACAGGAAGGCCAGGTATGCCTGCTGGCTGATGGGGATGTGAGTGCCACAGAAACCAAGTGCAGAGTGGACTGGGAGGTACCTCCGCTGGAGTACAATCAGAGGGTGGTGTCTGGGAAGAAAGTACCAGAGAGCACCATCAGGTTTGGAGTCTGGGACCTCAAAAGCAGAGAGAGAATGAAAGGCGTAAGGCGCAGGTGAGGTCTTAGGACCACGGATGTGGATTTGCAGGTTGGCACAAAGGGTAAGTAAAACTGGCAGGTGAACTAGTCTTTGCAAACAAATATAAGGAAAAATGAGAGACGAGTCCCGGGGAAGCCCATAATCAAAGGGGTGGGGGGTGGGTAGAAGAGAGGACTAAAAAAGGAGTGGATAGGGAGATAGACAAAAAATAAGGATGGTGCATTAGCCCCAAGAGTGAAAAGCGTTTTGAGAAGGCAATTTTTCACTTTCTACTCCAGCTTGGTTGGAAGTTTTGGCAAAAGGTAGGTGATTACAGAGGACAGTGGAGAGTGGTAATTAAGGTCCTTTCCAAGAGATATGGCCTCTCTGGGCTGATGGCTCAGAGCCTGGAGCCTGTTCCGATTCTGTGTCTCCCTTTCTCTCTGCCCCTCCCCCGTTCATGCTCTGTCTCTCTCTGTCCCAAAAATAAATAAACGTTGAAAAAAAAAAAAATTAAAAAAAAAAAAAAAAGAGATATGGCCTCAAAGTCAGTTAGAATGCACAGCCCCTTGTCTTGGTAAAATTGTCTTGTTTTAATGGAACAACTCCCCATTACTGAGATTTATCATACATATTATTCTAGCCTCTTGATTACACAGGATAGATTAATCAAATTCACTGTCTCCCACCTGTTGTCTGCTTTTGGCTATTTCATTACTCATTAGGACTTTGCTCGATTCCAGGTTGGGCGGGGGAGAGGGGCACATCAATGGAGAAAACACAAAGTCATCCTTTTTTAGGTTAGTAATTATGAACAGAAACTTGAGGGCTGGTGAGAGGGAATAGATAAAACTACCAATCAAATTGGAACTGGGAGTTATCTGTGACCTTCAGTCACACTATCTGCCCTTGATCTTTGTGAGCTGGTTGCTCTGTTCTTCTTGCTTAGTGAATATGCATTGCTTCTTGAAGCCAGCTGCCGCTCCGCCCAGCTCAGGTTATAGAAAGTGAACCTCTCATGTCACCAGTGCCTGGAAACCTACAGAAAGAGTGAGGTTTAAGCTCCGATTCTCCATTTCCTCCTTTACGTTCCATGTCATGTTACTCCACTGAATCTGTTTTCACCAAATATAAAAATTTCAATTTCGAAAGAAAGCTAAAATTAAGCTTGTTTCAAAGTCATTAGCAGACAAGTAAACAGGAATCTAGGCGTATACAGGAATTGAATGAGAGATCTTGATTTCAAAGAGCTTCAATGTTTATTGAAATATATGTAGAGAAAAAGACATAGTTACTCATGTAAACTCAAATGTCATTTACTTTCATTTATTTGCAATCAAACCACTATAAAGTAAAACAAACCAATTTCCTCTTCTGGTAATAAGTATTACAAATGACAACCTCAACATGCTCTTAGAATTCCAAACAGTTTTCAGAAGGATAGAAAATTACATTTATTGTAATTTTAATGTTAAATGCATTCTTTTCCCCATTCCTTAAGAAGCAGTAAATCAAATGGAACTCTGAGCTAATTAGATATTCAGTATTGCAGAACATCCCAGTTTCTCACTGTTCTGGGTGAATAGGGAGTGATTTATTGTATGAAGTTTATAATTGACACATCCACCTATCTTTTTCTGCTTCCTGTACTTAAACATACATGGAAATAGATTCCCGCAAGTAGTAAACATCTAAGCTTTTGAACAAAGAAGGAGAAAAGGATGGAATCACTAACGCCACTGATACACAAGCATCAGACATTTAAACTTTTTTCTGTTCTTCTGCCATGTATCTGTGAGAGAGGAAAAAAAACCTTCGTAGTTGACTTTTTAACAGACTACATTTTAGCTCTAAATGATTTATTACCCATCCCAATCAAACTGAAAACTAGGCCCTGGTTCTTCATACAAGGGCTTCCTACAAGAACTCTTTTTTTTTTTTTTTTTAAAGCTTGAATTCTCTCTCTTTCACAATAGTCTGGATACCTTATTTTGTCAACAGATTGACAGGCATTAATCGCTGGCATTAATTACTATCTTTGCCCCTTTTGGCAATATCATAATGGTCACCTTGAGCTTGGATCGGATCAAAACATTGAAGTATATGAATTATACATTATGTATTAGAGTTTTGGTCAAGTAAACAAAAACAGAAGCCCAAAGCACCGTTTCCATGCTTTAGTTTCCCACCCCTAGACTATATACAACGTCAGTGAGCGTTACTGACTACTACAGTGCAGTTCCCCTAGCCTCTGTCCCCCTCTTTGGGCCAGAGTGGGAACAGGTCAAGGTGGCTGCCTCATCTAATCACAGATCTAACTCTATATCCAAATGCTTCAAGGGTATGTACCAGTTGCCTATTCCACCTTAAGTCCTCACAGAGGGTTCCAAACAGTCAAATTTATCTTAATGTGCCTGACGAACAGTGGGAAATCAGCCAAATTCAAGCACAGGGGTTTTATCGCTGCATCTGAAAAGCACAACCTCAGAGTTTCCAGAGACAGGGGCTCTCACACAGGGGTTTCAAACATGAGCATGCTCTATTCCAGAAACGGATTCGGTAAACTGCAAATGTGCACTTGTGAAAGAGTATTTGACCCAAACCACTAGAAATACTGCCTGTAAGTGGTAAAGCACTCATCTGAAGGGGACTCTCAATAAACACGCAAAAATGTGGTTTTTATCCAAAATAATTAAAATAATGCAAGAAACCATAACATTTAGCTTCGGATTAAGATTCAATTACAATAGGGCAGTAGTACAGCCGGAGATCTTGAAAACATGAGTAAAATATTTATGTAAGAGATAATCCAACTCTTTCCTAAATAAAAATGTGGTCCATGCACCCAGGTGTAACGTTCAGCTTTAAATACAATAGTTTATGGATTTCAGTTATTACTGATGCTAAACCGTCTTCCTTGGTCTTTGAGTATTTGATTTTAATTTTTAAACTGAATTTTCATTCTAAGAGGGGTCCTAGAGCCAAAAAAGTAGGAGAAGTTCTATTCGGTTAACCCAGGGAACAGCCAATGCTCACCATGTTTATAGCACCACTATGATGCAGACCGACCAGTTCTCCAAGTCTGCAGATCCTGAGGGAGAGACGTTTTCGGGGGGCAATGAAGTCAAAGCCATTTCATAATCACACTGAGCCATTAGTTGCCATTTCCGGGGAATGGACATTTTCACTGATAGTGACACAAGGGTGAGCGCCCCTGTTGGCATCATGACACACAGGTCAAAGCAGTGCCACCAAACTGTACCAAAGTCACTGTTTGTTACCACCGCGCACTCTCGGTGACACAGAAGCCAAGACGGTAAGGCGGCAGGCAGCTTCACTTAAGGATGTCCTTGATGAAACACAGAAGATAAAATTACTGTCTTCCATCTCAACCGCCGAGTTCCTGTCTTTTTAACATTCTGTGGAATGAAATGGAAAATGGGCATAGAACACTCCTGCGGCATACAGATGGACGGTGGATGTCTAGAGAAAACAAGTCCTGCTTGGATTGTGAATTGAAGAGGCTGCTTTTTCATAACCACCTTTTTTATTTGAGAATTACTGAACGACAAACCGTGTTATTCAATTTGGCAGGCATTTTCTTGAAAATGAGGTGAGCCTGTCATTTCAAGGAAAACAATGGACGATACTTGTGGCTGGTGACAAAATTCAAGCTTTGAGGTGAAACTGGGATTTTGGAAAACTAGTCCGGCCACCATGAGCTTGACAGCTTCCCAATTCTCTCTCTTTCCCAATATTTAAAGACTCTTATGAGATCAGTGGCAACCACTGTTTTTAGTGTCTCACTCATTGTGCCTCTTCCAGGATTTCATATCATTGGAACCACACACTACCTGTAGCCTTTCAGACACGCTTCTTTCACTAAGTGATTATTTTGAGCTATTTTAATAAATATTTTACATTTGTTCTGTTTAATTTGTAATGTGGTAAATTTCAATAATCTT